ACCAGCTGTGCCACCAGCTGGAAGAGCAGACCGAAACGGCCGCTCAAGCAAGGGAGAGGTGGCAATGGATGGAGGACTTACAGAAGCCCCCAATGTACATATGAGGGAGGAAGGGGCATAATGTTTCAATAAAAGTGCAATTAGAGACGCTGGATACGCGGGAGACTCACGCCTTAAGCGCACTGGTGGATAGCGGCGCCACGGGGAGTTTGATCGACTGAACCTGGGCCCAGGCACATGACCTCAGCCTAAAGCAGGCTGCCCGACCCGTCCCTGTTTATAATGCTGATGGCACCAGGAACAAAGGAGGTGACATCACGGAATATGCCGAAGTAAGGCTGCGGATCGGGGACCACGTGGAACGAATTGAACTAGCGGTAGTAGACTTGGGCTCGACTCCGTTGTTCCTGGGGCATGACTGGCTCCAACGTCATAACCCCCTAATAGATTGGACCACGGGAGCTGTCACCCTAGCCCGATGCGCATGTCGGAAAATTCCATTTTCCCTACCCGACACCGACCCCTCGGCGAGATGGGAGGAATACGAAGAGGGAGACACCATTCTAGTAGTGGATTTCGAGGAGGCCTTCCACGCCCGAGCCATGGGGACTAAAGCCAATGAATTAGCGGCCCAGGCTAACGCCAAAAAGACGGCCAAATCGTTCGAAGAGATTGTCCCGGAAGAATACCGAGAGTTCAAGGACGTCTTTGATAAAGAAAACTTTGACGAGCTACCGCCCCGCAAGCCTTGGGATCATGCCATCGAACTCATCCCCAACGCCAACGCCAACCTCGACTGCAAAGTCTACCCCCTTAATCCGACGGAACAGGAGGAGCTGGACAAATTCCTGGACGAGAACCTGTCGACAGGACGTATTCAGACCTCCAAGTCCCCGATGGCCTCTCCATTCTTTTTTGTAAAAAAGAAGGATGGGAAGCTGCGGCCCGTGCAGGATTACCGAAAGCTAAACGAGATGACCGTCAAGAATCGTTATCCGTTACCGCTTATCGGAGAACTAATGGACCGACTGAAGAAGGCCAAGTACTTCACCAAGTTGGACGTACGGTGGGGGTATAACAACGTTAGGATCAAACAAGGGGATGAGTGGAAGGCGGCATTTCGAACCAATTGCGGGCTCTATGAGCCACTGGTGATGTTCTTCGGACTCACCAACTCGCCGGCGACGTTCCAGTGGATGATGAACAATATCTTCAAAGACCTCATCACCGCTGGGGAGGTGTCCGTGTACCTGGACGACATTCTCATCGCTTCCAAGACCAAGGCAGAACATAGACGCATCGTGCAGAAGGTGCTCCAGATACTACGCGAGAACCACCTGTTTCTTAAAGCTGAAAAGTGTGAATTCGAAGTGGAGGAGACGGAATACCTGGGGGTTATCATCAGCGAGGGAAAAATTCGCATGGACCCCGTGAAAATCGCGGGGCTACTGGACTGGCCAGTCCCTCGACGGAAGCAAGAATTGCAGTCCTTCCTTGGGTTCTGTAATTTTTATCGTCGGTTCATCCGAGACTATAGCAAGCACGTCAAGCCGTTAACTTCTTTAACGGGGAAGCAGGAGTGGGGGTGGGGAGAAGCCCAACAAAAAGCTTTCGACAAATTAAAGGAGCTGTTTCGTGAAGATGTGGTACTAGCTATTCCCCTTGACAAGGGGCGATTTCGAGTAGAGGCAGACTCCAGTGAAGGAGCAGTAGGAGCGGTACTCTCCCAGTGGCAGGAAGAGAAGTGGCGACCAGTGGCGTTCCTTTCCAAGGCCCTGTCAACGACCGAACGGAACTACGAAATCTACGACAAGGAGCTCCTCGCCATAATGATCGCCCTCAAAGAGTGGCGACAGTATCTCATGGGGGCCCGGGAGGACTTCGAAATCTGGACTGATCATTCTAACCTCCAATACTTCCGCAAGCCCCAGAAACTCAATCGACGACAAGCGCGATGGGTGACAGAGTTGGTGGAGTACCAATTCACCTTGCACCACAAGCCGGGAGCGCAAAACTGAAAGGCAGACCTCCTATCGTGAAGGGCGGACCATGATCAAGGGAAGGAAGACAATCGTGACGTGGTAGTACTCAAGGCGGAACATTTCAGGGCCCTCGTGATGCCTACCCCCGAGGAGCTACACGAAAAGATCAAAATAGCCACGCACGACCCGTGTCGCTGGGACAGAGGAATCTCTGACTCCCTTAATCATGAGAAGGGAGTTTCCCGCGATCAGGGCTTACTGTGGTACGACGGACGGATTTACGTGCCGGTGGACCAGAATCTTAGGGGGCAGATCATAGCCCTTAGGCATGATCATGTCACGGCTGGACATCCGGGGATTGAGAAGACGAAGGAACTCGTCCTTCGCGATTATTGGTGGCCACGCATGCGTCGAGATGTAGAGGCCTACGTCAAGGGTTGTGACGTCTGCCAGTGAACTAAAGCAGACCGTCGCCCAAGGAGGGCTCCCCTGCACCCCAATGAGGTCCCGGTTCGTCCTTGGACCCATATCTCGGTGGATATGATCACGAAATTGCCCAACTCGAAGGGATTCGACTCCATCCTAGTGATTGTTGATTGTTTTTCCAAGACAATAATCCCTATTGCCTGCACCGAGGAGCTCACTTCCCTCGGCTTCGCCAAGATCCTGCGAGACTACGTTTACGTTCCCTACGGGGTGATGCCAGAAAAAGTCATTTCCGACCGTGGATCGGTCTTCGTTTCTAAATTCATGAAGGAATTCTATACCCTCATCAAGGTAGAGGGAAACCCTTCCACCGCGTATCATCCGCAAACAGATGGTCAGACTGAGAGGGTCAATCAAGAAATAGAGAAATACCTGAAGATGTTTGTTAACGACCGGCAGGATGACTGGAGCGAGTGGTTACCGCTAGCCGCCTTCACCCACAATAACTGCCAGCACTCCGCTACTGGATACTCCCCGTACAAAGTAGTGTTCAGGAGAGATGGACAGGTCATAACCCGAACACAGAAAACCCCCGTAGTACCCGCAGCGGCGAAACTAGTAGCCGAAATAGAAAAGGCCCAAAGGGAGATGAAAGCATCCCTGGAAAGAGCGGCGGAGTCGATGAAGAAGGCCTACGACAAGCACAAAGGCCAAGCGGTAGAATATCAACCGGGGGATAAGGTGTGGCTAGATACGACCCACCTAAACCTCCCGCGTCCCACCAAGAAGCTTGGGGACCGTCGTGTAGGCCCATTCACGGTGATCGCCAAGAAGGGGGCTTCGGCCTACAAGCTAAAACTACCCGCCAAATGGAAAATTCACAACCGCTTCAACGAGTCACTCCTAACACCTTATGTGACTCCCGCTTTTCAAAATCAACCACGTCCGGAATGGCCACCGCCGGAATTGATAGACGAGGAAGAAGAATACGAAATTGAAGAAATCGTGGAACAGCGGGACAAAGTTGTAGGGCGTGGGCGAAATCGCCGCACCATAACTGAATACCTCGTAAAATGGAAAGGGTATCCGAAGGAGGAGAATTCTTGGGTCAAGCGCTCCAATATGGCCAATGCGGAACGACTCGTCAACGAGTATGAAGCCCGCATTCAGAAGATGCACTGGGAGGTCAACCATAGGGGAAAGACGGTTGGTATTGACGACAAAATACCACGCAACCTCCCCGTCGAATACCACGACCCAACAACACCCTGTGTGACAGAGGTGGAGACTGTCTACTCCTCCCAATGCTCAGCACCAGCACACTCCGAGGAGGAAATCAACGTGGTTGGAGAGGTAGCAGGGTCAGACGCCGGACGACCTAGCGGACCCGTATCGACAACATCGTACCTACAATGACGCGCCCAAGAGATCGGAGACTCTAGACGGGAGAACAAGCCCTACAGAAATCCGCCAATTCTACTCGACCCTCCTTCTGACGACGAAGCCGATGTAGACCACCTTCAAAAGGTGACGGAGAATTGGGATTTCGATAGCGAAGATGATGACAATGATGATGATAGCGTCCTTTCCTTCTACAGTCAATCACAACAAAGCAGAGAGGAGACTGAGGACTCATTCGGGACGAACGAGTCTTAAGGAGGGGGTAATGTTACGGTTTATCCTTTTCTTTTCCTTTTTCTTTTCTTTTCTTTTCTTTTTCTTTCCTTACACGTTCTCGCTTACTCTATACTGCGGTTCTGATCGGACTTTCTCACCATGCTATTTTTACTTTACTCAACATGTATTTAAGTAGAGCCTAAGCTGGGCTAAACCCCAGCTTCGGCTAAGGTTTAATCTACCTAACATCAAACTCCGTGTTTCGCGACTATCTAAGTTCGCTCCTGACTCTGTTCACATCGCCTTTGACCTCCGAGTGTATCGCCTACCGAAGTGCGAGTAGCGATCCTTGGTTGATCTAAGTCGATTAGAGTTAGTGGCTAACAAGTGTTCCGCTTGCATGAGGTGGTTTCCAGCCAGTGTGTGCGAAAGACATGAGTGCACAGGGACAGGCAAAAGCACTATATAGACTGGATTGGTTGAAAAGGTACCAGACGGCATACATAATTTTACAGTTGTAATAGGCCTCCTCGATCTAAAATCACCAAATGTCGCCATCAGTTTGAAGACCTATTTGACAATATGAAGTGACTCACACGTTATGACGAGCCTCTAGGAAGTTCTTCCGCATTTACGTGTTCAGTAGTCACCGCCTTCCTGCAGTTTCGTCCCGATTCACTTGAAGATGATAGATAACTGGGGCACAAGTCCACTTCCCTAGAGATACATCCCAAGGTGGATGCACGGCCATTGACGGAAAGAAATGCGCACCAAAGAAGGTACGCCACTTTCTGTTACATATGTGACAGATGTGACCATCCGTGCCTTCCGTCGCTCGACCGTCACACTGGAACATTAGTCCGGATGCCCTTCATCATCCAAAATGCAGCGGATCCACGAATTTATTTGGCGAATAGAGTTGAGTTCCGCTTTAAATATTGCTGATCTTGTCGCCTTGCCTTCTCCAATGCATTAATGGCCCCCTCGCTCTTCGTTGTTGTTGTCAAGACGCACGACGACCTTCGGGTCAGTTACACTTCTCTATGTCTGACCTTGTACTGAATGCGCTCTAACAGAAACTCCAACTTCTTCTGGCTGTATGCTTGGTTGGCCTCATTCGTGATGCTAGTGTATGTTATTGTGTCGATCACTGTCACTGCTCTGACCATGTTTCTTAGTGGAAACGTGATGCCCTCCAGCTAATCCTCAAAACGTGTGAGAACCAAGAAACCACGGTGCAACAGTTAAACTGGAGGCTCGACGGTCAGTGCATAAGTTCATTTTTCTCTTGCCAAAATCTCATTGAGTTGTAGGTACCCACCCTCTTTACAGATACCAGTCTGGCATAGCAGAAATCGCCTCCGACCGATCCAGTATTCTTTACAGGTCACTTCTAGCCACCATGGACAAGTTTTGTCAGCAGCTTGGCCAACCATCGCCTTTGTCCCGATTGAACAGCGATCCCACCTGCCTTTTCCTTGATCTTCCTGGGAATTGGCAAGAGTCGCACGATATGTGTGATTTCCAACCCTATGTCCTCAACCAAGAGATGTTCCTTAGGTCTCATTGTGGACCGCCAGAGATCACCAGTAGCGTTCTCAACCTCAGCCTCGAGAATTGGCCCATCTCCTTGGTGTCGTTCTTCTTTAATCTCTTTCCGAACCTGCTTTGTGTGACCATCCAAGGATGTCAGTGTCTGTTGAAGAACATTCCGGTCATTCGCTATCTGTACCTGTTGCCCCCAACTATCAAACACCTAGCCCTCAGGAAGGTGGCGTTTGAGGAACACGCATTGGAGACCATGTTGAGTCTGGGCACCACATTGGAATCGTTATCACTGATAGACGTATTCAAGGGCTATGTGGTATGTGCTCAACTCCTTATTGAAACACCTTTTTAATGGTCATTCATGTTTTGGCAGCCCACGAACATGGATCGACGAGCATGGCAAGAGCGATGGGGTGTCGCAAATATCCTTCAGCCAGAGATCTACTTGCCTGTACCAGCCTCCCTCCAACGTCTAGTGCTCCACTCCCCAAGAGCAGACGCTCTTCCAGGGGTTCATCCTTCCAGCCAAGAGTGTCGTGACGATAAGCAGGTTTTGCAAGATTTCGCCTATCTGGTTTCACAGCTATTTGGGGTAGGACAAGCTGCTGAGGGTATCCAACATCTACTGGAACCCAGCGAGCTTTTTCCCCGCAGGTTAGGCATGGGATGTCTGACTGTACTGGACTTAGCGTTCGCTATGTGCCATTTCGAACTGCTCGGGGGTATACTAGAGGTTGTGGCAGACACGTTGAGGACATTGTCTTTTCGCTACTGTGAGTTCTCATTGTTGCTTACTTAATCTTCTGTGAACTTATTTTTGTATGCAGCGGGACAGGCAGCTATGGCCGCTTGTCAGGGTTATCCTGTTCATGTCCTGTTAGGAAGCCTCCAGCATCTCGAGCATTTGACTTTGTTTTGTCCGGCTGATGCCCTCTCACTGGCCCTGCTGTGCATTCAAACATGGGATTGCCCAGAGAAGATGTCGCCCTCATCCAGCCTTATGTTGGTTGGACATCTACTCCCTGGTTTGGAGACTTCCCTGCTGGAGTACCTCAGCATCTCGGCACTACAATGTGCCTTACTCGGCTCTGTTAGTGCAGGTGAAAACCCAACTGAATGCACTACTCCGTTCAAAGGACGATTTTTACTTAGCTTGAGAGCGTTCTTTCCGTACATCATTTCTTCTGTCGATCTGGATCACACTAGTGTAGTCCTTGATAGCTTGTACCATTGTGAAGATGTAGAGGCCAAGATTTTGCCTTGCCTTGCTCAGGTCCTTCATGACGCAGATTTTTGATATATTGTCATTTAGCTACATTTTGTCTAGCATTTATGTGATCAGTTCTACCGATTCAGCAAATGAAAGAAAATTCTTGAATCTCACATATGATCAAACCCCATCTCCAACTCAGGTTGCCAGTTTCTCCCTTTCAAGTAATTGACTGTATCTGAATGAGTGAAGCGAACCCATGATACTCGCCCTGGCGTAGTCTTGCTCTCAGAGATGTTACGGTTATTCTTTTCTTTTTCTTTTCTCTTTCTTTTCTTACGTATTCACGCTTACTCTATGCTGCGATTTCGATCGGACGTTGCTGCGGCACTATCTTTAGCCTACGCAACGTGTATTTAAGTAGAGCCTCAGCTGGTCTAAACCCCAGCTTCGGCTAAGGTTAATTCTACCTAACATCGAACTCCGTTCTTCTGTCTAAGTGTCCCATTCACTTTCGTCGCCTTTGACTTGTTGAGTGTCGTCTACCGAAGCGCGAGTAGAGACCTTAGCACGATCTAAGTCGATTAGAGTTAGTGGCTAACATTTAGCCGAAGCTCGCTTTACGTTGCTCAGCGTCACTTCCGAGAAAGAGCGCTGCCCAACTCCGTTACGAAATATTACCCCGCTTGACCAGAGAGGTCATCGCCTACGTTCGTGTGGACAACCCAGTGCTTGTCAACGTACAGCGAGTGGACCGACGGAAAAGCACTCACCGTAACCATTCATCCGATACACTACCTCATTGCACTAGCCTTGTGGCTAATACCCCCTCGGCTACTCCTTCTGTTGTTAGTAACCCGGTTGATTGTTGAAACTATCCTCTACGACGACCTACTCTACGCAGTCTTTCTGACTGTATACTTAACCTTTCTCCTAATCGGACTCGGAATACCGGCAGTGTTGCTAGCAAGTTTGCTGGCCGCCCTGTACTCGCTATATCCCCGCCTCGTTTAGGAACCACGTATCCCAACACGAAACCCTTCATCCTCGCCCTTCAGCTCGCCTCTATCCTAACAGTTCTGCTGTTAATAGTAACGAGCACTCCTCCCGACGAGACCTGCGAAATCACGTTAATGAACGGCTCTAATTACGAGACCGACCTTAGCCTGATCATCGCTCTTCTCATTGTCCTGACTATCCTCGCGATATACCAGCTTGCATGGTCAATCGTCGACCTACGCCGAGAATAGATCCCTATACGGATGCCCTGGTCCGACGCCATTCCTGCAATCTTCGTAACTTTTATCGCCTTTTTCTTGTCCATTTCTTTATACTACACACTCCGCTGTTGCCGACAACAGAGAAGGATTCGACCTCAGCTTCCCTTCCACTACGTGCCCAGCGCACCCGCATATCCTCCGCAGGTGATAGATATCCCCGCGGCTTCACAGCAAACACTACCCGCTCCAGAAACCCCTCGGCTAGAGCTACGCTCTCTCTATGGAGAGTCCCTCTACAGATCGTCGCGACCCAGCTCGCGATCCTCAGAGTCGAGCACCGACTCCTACAGAAGCGCTACCGACGAGTCAACCGACTCCGTCGACATCACCGATACCAGGAGCATACTCCTCGACCGAGGAGACTCGCCCCTACCAGGCCTCTTCGACCAGCCTTCAATCGAAGGCGAGTCAAGCCCCGACAGAGGCAGAGGACAAGACACCAGGCATCTGGTCGTGGGCGAAGAAAGCCCTGATACCGAGTTCGAAGGGGACGAGCTCACCGAGTGGGAAAGAACCCGCCTCGACGACCTCCTCGACGACCTCTACCCGAATACGGAGGAGGATGCTACCTATTCCGGAGACAACTGGTCCGGAAAATCGTCCACAAAGTGGGTCGAGGCCCAGTGGGGAGATTCCGACATCGGAGCAGAGCGGAGAAGGTTTATACAGAGGCAAAAGGACGACTACGACACCGATTCCGGAGAGCTTGGCCTCGGAGCCTCCGCGGCTTCCACCAGTGCAACTAACTCACAGCCTCTTCCAAGGGCCTGGCCAACCAATAGAGGCCCCCCAGTCGGCTGGCATCCCAGCACCAGCTGGGTCTACGCCGACAACGGGGAAGAGACTCCTGTGGCCAGAGTCGCGACCAGAAGAGAGCCCGACCCGATCCCTGAAAGGCCCGAGACACCAACGCTCTCTGCCCTCGTCCCCTCGAACGAGCCGACGAGTAGGGAGCTTTGGAGCGAGTACCCAGACTACGACGCCGAGGAACTTGGGACAATTACCGCCGCCGAGCGACTCGCCGGAGTCTCCGACTGGGAACCATCCGTTTCATCGCGAGCCTTCGCCGACCCCGTCCCGGCGACCCAGCGTCCTTGGCCGCTCCTCTATCACACGTACATCGAGTCCCTCCGACTCACTCGAGCTGCCAGGGAATCCCCAGAGGAACAGGCCAGAATGGACCGAGGCCGAGCGCACGATGCACGCATCCGACGCGCCGAGGAGGACGCCCTCTACGGGCCCAATGGATTTTGGGACCTCCCCGTCGAGCCCGACGCCACTCCCGCCGAAATCGACAATCGAATACGAGCCGCTGCCGTTCGCTACACCGGATACGCCCGGAGGGCAGGAACCGACCTCGAGGCCCGAGCTCGAGCCTGGAGAGTCTATCAGGAGGAGATCTCCAATGAGGACTCCGACATCGGGAGGTGGAGGAGAAACAAGGAGCTTGACCGAATCGCCCGAGAGAGGAAGGAGGCCGAGGATGCCAACCCGGCCCCCAAACCAAGCCCTGGAGCCGACGGTAATGGCGGCAGTGCGGCAGGTCCTTCTTCAGGGCCCAGTGCCTAGACCGGGAATCTTCGAACTCCTACCCTGGCACGGCCTATACGAAATTATGATGGAAGATATGGAGAGAGACCCACAGTGGCTCTTCTCCGAGGCGGGCGAGGACTACCGCCACGCGAAGCAAATGGGGGATGTATACCTGATGAGGAACATCCTCGAAGTAGAAACTTGGCACCGGGCCGCCATCGTTTGGAACTTGGTCAACCCCACTGCGCCGCAGCGAGGGTGTGAACCCTACAGGAGGCCTCAACCGATGCCTCATCCTACGGATCCCTCGGACTTCTTCCCCGAAGGGTTCTTCGGTGGTGCAGGAGAGGACGACGACGACATGGACGACCCCGGTGCTGGGCCGTCTCGCCCTGATAAGGGAAAAGGGTCTACGGTGCCCCCATTCCCACCAAAACAGCCGCCATACCCGGACCCCGCAGGATATCCACCCCCGGGGGAAAATCGAAACCTACGATCGGTATCGCGACCGCCCAAACCGCCGGTACCGCCACATGTACCATCCCCCCCCGATCCAATTCCTCCCTGGCAGCTCGCGCCGGGAGCCGTTAACAACCCTTGGAATGATGTCAAGCCCAAGTTAGTAACTCAGCCCGAGTACTTTACTGGGGTTTCCTCGGACATCACCCGTTTCCTACACCACTGCGAAGTTTATTTCGCGGTGTTCCCCATGTACTACTCCATGAACGATCAGGGGCATAACCCCTATCGCATCACGTTTGCTCAGGGGTATCTACGAGGGGACGCGCAGCAGTGGTGGGTCGACCAGTACTACCGCTACCGAGATTCGCAAGGCCACTGGAGATTCCCCACTTGGGCGGAATTCTCCGAGGACCTCAAGCGCGAATTCCGCGAAGTGGCGGAGTTAACGATATGGAAGACGGAATGGAAGAGAGTCCGACAGGCGGACTGCAAGTCCGCAGTCGAGTTCTTTGCCAAGTTCGAGCGGCTGGCCCACAAGTGCGAGGAGTTCGGAGATGAGAAGCAGATGTTCGAAGCGGTGGAGGCGGCGATAAGGCCGACGGTACGCAATACGGTTATGCATGGGGACAACGAGCGCCCCACAACCTATGCACAATGGAAGGCGCGAGTCCTACGGATCGACGCCAATTACCGGTACGGAGTAGCCCAAGGACTGGGCAATAAGTCCTCCTCGAACCAAGGCGGTTCGGGTCGAGGCAATCAATCAAAGGGAAGCGGATCGGGTGCCGGGGGCGATAAGAAGGACGCCACGGGAACCACGTACGGTGGAGCAGGGCAGCCAATGGAGATCGACAAGCTGCGATCCGACAAGCGGTGCTTTAAGTGCGGAAACACGGGGTGGAACCCCAAGCACAAGTGCCCTGACGACAAATCCAAATGGCTCCCCGTCAAACTCCCACCACGCAAGAAACCCAACGTCGCCCGCCTCCGCCAACTGCTCGCTGAAGCCGAAAAAAGAGGATCTAGGAAAGGACACCAAGATCGAGGAAGTAAAGGAGGAGAAGAAGTCGTCAAAAGACGAGCCGGCGTCGAAATAAGCGATTCGACGGCGTCGGCAAAGGACTTAGTTTCTATTGGTACGCGCTCATGTAATTCTAATCGGACTCATACTACGTATGTAGGTACCCCATATGAACAATATACCAACTTTTTCGCTGCGTTACCTGTCGAAGAAACTAAGGAAACCGAATCGCCCATCACCAATGGCGTAGAAGGGGATTTCCGCCGCTTAGCGTGGTCTGCGCCTAGCATAGAACCCCGAGGGGCTGTCCCACCTCTGGAACCCCCGCTTGACCGCAAAGAGGCCGCTGCCGCAGGTCAAGTACAGGCCGAGGTCAGACGTGACCGCGGTCGCCCGGGCAGGGAGAAACGGCCGACGACTCCGACATTCGGGACAACAAACGTGCCCAGTGTCAGCGGCGGGAATGCAGCTGAGGCCGGGAACCCAGGAGACCACCTTCCCTCAGTAGCCGTATCGTCGGCAAACGGTGAAGACCTCTCGGGGGAGCCAATACGTGTGCGCCTGCCAAGGGTTTCCGCGAGTACCGCCCCGGTTAGGAATGAGGATAAGCAGGGAACGACAGTAGAGGTTACAACGCCGAGCGCAAGCGCCCGAGGCCAGGGCCGAAGAAAGGGCAGAGCGCCCTCCTCTACCAACTCGTCGGAAGGTGACCAAATGCCACCGAGGGGCCTTACCGACCGGCCCGGCGACCAACTGCCGCGCACGAGTACAAGACCCCAGGTATCCGTGGAAGAAGTAGAAGACGAAGAAGCCCACCTACGGTCCGATATACCGGTAGTAACTCCCCGAAGACCGACGTCTCCCGCCGTGCCTCTCACCGCCAACGCCAACGACAAGAAGGTGCTCGCGGAGATGTACTACGAGCCATATGGGATTCTGTGGACCCGTCGGGCCCTACGAATCGCCCGAGGAGATGCGGCGACTCGCGCCGTTCTCAACGGATGGGTACACCCGCGACGACGCGAGGAAGTGACGGACGAGCTATGTCAACAGCTGGAGGAACAGACGGAGACAGCGGCTCAGGCCAGAGAGCGGTGGCAATGGATGGAGGATTTACAGAAGCCACCGATGTACATACGAGGAAGGAAGGGGCGAAATGTCTCAATAAAAGTGCAGTTGGAAACGCTCGATACGAGAGAAACCCACGCTGTGTCCGCCCTAGTTGACAGCGGGGCCACCGGGAGTTCGATCGATCGCGCCTGGGCCCAGGCCCACGATCTCAACCTGAAGAAAGCGGCCCGACCCGTTCCGGTCTACAATGCCGACGGCACCCGTAACAAAGGAGGGGATATCACCGAGTATGCCGAAGTACGGCTACGAATAGGGGACCACGTGGAACGGATCGAACTAGCCGTAGTCGATCTAGGCTCCACCCCCTTGTTCCTAGGGCATGACTGGCTCCAACGTCATAACCCGCTTATTGACTGGGACACCGGGGCGGTCACCCTAGCCCGATGCACGTGTCGAAAAATCCCGTTCTCCCTCCCCGATACCGATCCATCGGCGCGATGGGACGAGTATGAAGAAGGGGACACCATCCTGGTGATTGACTTCGAAGAGGCCTTCCACGTCCGAGCCATGGGGACTAGAGCTAACGAACTAGCCACCCAAGCCAACGCAAAAAAGGACGCCAAGTCATTCGAAGAGATAGTACCCGAAGAGTATCGGGACTTCAAGGACATCTTCGATAAAGAAAATTTCGACGAACTTCCCCCACGTAAACCCTGGGACCATGCCATCGAGTTAATCCCCAACGCTAACGCCAACCTAGACTGCAAAGTCTATCCACTCAATCCCACGGAACAGGAAGAGCTGGATAAGTTTTTGGATGAGAACCTAGCCACGGGGCGTATTCAGGCTTCGAAATCGCCCATGGCCTCCCCATTCTTCTTCGTCAAGAAAAAGGATGGAAAATTACGACCTGTACAGGACTACCGAAAGCTTAACGAGATGACCATCAAGAACCGTTATCCGTTACCGCTCATCGGGGAACTCATGGACCGACTCAAAAAGGCCAAATACTTCACCAAATTAGACGTCCGGTGGGGCTACAACAACGTACGCATCAAGAAGGGGGACGAGTGGAAGGCAGCCTTTCGAACTAATCGCGGCCTCTACGAGCCCCTTGTCATGTTCTTCGGGCTTACCAACTCTCCTGCCACTTTCCAGTGGATGATGAACGACATCTTTAAAGATCTCATCACCGCTGGTGAAGTATCAGTATATTTGGACGACATCCTCATTGCTTCCAAATCCAAGGCAGAGCACAAGAGGATCGTACGCAAGGTCCTCCAGATATTACGAGAAAATAATCTGTTCCTGAAAGCGGAGAAGTGTGAGTTCGAAGTGGAGGAGACTGAGTACCTGGGAGTCATCATTAGCGAAGGAAAGATCCGTATGGACCCCGTCAAGATTGCGGGCCTACTGGACTGGCCGACTCCCCGTCGCAAACAGGAGTTACAATCCTTCCTCGGATTTTGTAACTTCTATCGACGATTCATTCGGGATTACAGCCGTCACGTCCGACCACTTATGTCTCTCACCGGCAAACAAGAATGGAACTGGGGGAGGGCGCAAGAAGAAGCTTTTGAGAAACTAAAGGAGTTATTCCGGGAAGACGTGGTACTTGCCATTCCACTAGATCAGGGGCGATTCCGGGTAGAAGCGGATTCCAGCGAAGGAGCGGTAGGGGCGGTACTCTCCCAGTGGCAGGACGAGAAGTGGAGGCCAGTAGCCTTCCTCTCCAAAGCCTTGTCAATCACAGAACGCAATTACGAGATCTACGACAAGGAGCTTCTGGCCATAATGATCGCGCTCGAGGAGTGGCGACAGTACCTCATGGGAGCAAGGGAAGACTTCGAGATTTGGACGGACCACTCCAATCTCCAGTACTTCCGCAAGCCTCAGAAACTCAACCGCCGACAAGCACGGTGGGTAACTGAGCTAGCGGAGTACCAGTTCACCCTACATCACAAACCTGGGGCACAAAATCGCAAAGCCGACCTTCTATCAAGGAGGGCAGATCACGACCAGGGAAAGGAGGACAATCGGGATATCGTGGTCCTTAAAACGGAACACTTTAGGGCCCTGATGATGCCGACCACGGAGGACTTGCACGAAAGGATCAAAGCCGCCACACACGATCCCCGCCGTTGGGACAAGGGCATTTCGGACTCCCTCAACCACGAAAAGGGGGTATCCCGTGAGCAGGACTTACTCTGGTACGACGGACGCATTTATGTGCCAGTGGATCGGAACCTTCGAGGACAGATCATCGCCCTCAAGCACGACCACGTCACAGCGGGACACCCAGGAATTGAGAAGACCAAAGAGTTGGTACTTCACGATTACTGGTGGCCCCGAATGCGCCGAGACGTAGAAGCCTATGTAAAAGGGTGCGAGGTCTGCCAGCGAACCAAGGCGGACCGCCGCCCGAAACGGGCCCCCCTACATCCTAATGAAATACCCGTGCGCCCATGGACCCACATTTCGGTCGATATGATCACCAAACTCCCGAACTCCAAAGGCTACGACTCCATCCTCGTTATCGTCGACCGGTTCTCTAAAGCCATCATCCCCATAGCGTGCACTGAAGAACTCACCTCTCTTGGATTCGCCAAAATCCTAAGAGATTACGTCTACGTACCCTATGGGGTGATGCCCGAGACGGTAATTTCAGATCGAGGTTCCGTATTCGTATCTAAATTCATGAAAGAGTTCTACCGACTGCTTCATGTCGAGGGGAACCCCTCCACGGCATATCATCCACAGACCGACGGACAGACAGAGAGGGTTAACCAGGAAGTCGAAAAGTACCTGAAGATGTTCGTCAACGATAGACAAGACGATTGGAGTGAATGGCTACCGCTAGCGGCCTTCACTCACAATAATCGTCAACATTCGGCAACGGGGTACTCCCCTTATCGAGTCATCTTTGGAAGAGACGGAGAGGTCATTAAAAAGCCTCAACGGACAGCAAGCGTCCCAGCAGCGGGAAAGCTGGTGGAAGAGATCGAAAAGGCACAAGGCGAAGCGAAAAGATCGTTGGAAAAAGCGGCAGAGTCCATGAAAAAGGCCTACGACAAGCACAAGGCCGCCGCCATCGAATACCAGCTAGGAGACAGGGTTTGGCTCGACACGACCAACCTTCACCTTCCCAGACCAACCAAGAAGCTCGGAGATCGTCGGGTCGGACCCTTTACAATCGTTGCAAAGAAAGGGGCTTCGGCCTACGAGTTGAAACTACCAGTCAAATGGAAGATCCACAACCGCTTCAACGAATCATTATTGACGCCCTATGTGGATCCCGCCTTCCCCAATCAACCTCGTCCCGAACGCCCGCCTCCGGAGTTAATCGATGACGAAGAAGAATACGAAATTGAGGAGATAATAGAACAGCGCGACAAAGTTGTCGGTCGTGGGCGAACTCGCCACACCATCACAGAATACCTGGTGAAGTGGAGGGGTTACCCAAGAGAGGAGAACTCCTGGGTCAAACGTTCAGACATGGCCAACGCAGAGGAACTAGTGAACGAGTACGAGGCACGCCTCCAGCGGATTCATTGGGAGGTCAATAAATACGGGAAAACGGTCGGGAGAGACGACAAGATACCACGCGATCTGTCCGTCGAATACCACGATCCCGACACCCCATGTGTCACCGACATCATCACCGTGCCCTCGTCCCAATGCTCGGCGATAGCCCACTCTGAAGAGATTGACGGAATAGTCGCTGACCGTCCTACTCCCTCTGAGGCGGAAGAATACTGGAATCAGACGTTCAAGCCAGAACGGGAAGCAGCCTTCTTTGAAGGTAAATGGCCCACAGTCACGACAGACGAAGCAGACGGCGTACCCATGGTCGAAGAAACGCCAATCGATGATAACTCGGACGTAGACCTCCTACAACGGGTCACAGAAAACTGGGACAAAAACGAAGATGATGACAACGATGATGAAGACGACGACGAGTGGTCGTTTTATTCAGGATCACGATCCTCCTCTTCGCGAGACGAATCGAATGACTCCTCCGCATCGGAGGAATCCTAAATCAATAACTCACGGTGTAGAAGGGGATTTCCACCGCTTACTTATAAGCATTGAACCCTTAGGGATCGCGGATCCCGACAGACAGTCGAGGCCTAACCGGCGCAAAGTGGCTCAGGATTTATAGGAACCTGTGTCCAGGGGGAGAGAGGGTCAGAGGCCGAACGCAACGAGTGGCTTTTCATGGCGTAGCGGAGGTCCAATCAATCCTGTTTTAAAGCAGAAGGGAGCCCCTCGACTCGCTTATGTGGAAGGAAGAAGATATATTCTCATTCGGGACGAATGAGTCTTAAGGAGGGGGTAATGTTATGGTTATTCTTTTCTTTTTCTTTTCTCTTTCTTTTCTTATGTATTCACGCTTACTCTATGCTGCGATTTCGATCGGACGTTGCTGCGGCACTATCTTTAGCCTATGCAACGTGTATTTAAGTAGAGCCTCAGCTGGTCTAAACCCCAGCTTCGGCTAAGGTTAATTCTACCTAACATCGAACTCCGTTCTTCTGTCTAAGTGTCCCATTCACTTTCGTCGCCTTTGACTTGTTGAGTGTCGTCTACCGAAGCGCGAGTAGAGACCTTAGCACGATCTAAGTCGATTAGAGTTAGTGGCTAACAAGAGACCATTGTCAGGGGCTCCCAAGGTCCGATAGCATGGTAAAGATATGGCGACCGAAAAATCACTATGTCCCCAGGATTATACCTTGAAGATGGCCAGGTAAGCAACGTCAGAGAGACAGCTAGGAGAAAAATACTCCACTCAAAACAGACATCGAGATCGGGTAGGTATAGTTCACCTCCACGGAATTCTCCACCACAGGTGATCACACATACCTCGTAGTCTTTTTCATCTAGATGAGCATCCACCTGAAGTTTCCACACTGTGGCCAGGCTGAGGAAACAGCTCTGGATACCTTGAACCCACCGACCTGCTTTGGCTGCTCTGATAAGAGTCGCATATTCCATTGAGAAGAAGCGCTTCATGAGCGCATTCAAATATGCACTTTGGCGATCCGTAGCTAAGTAATATTGGTGGGCAGCCAGCTCTTCATGATGATTGTTACTGCTGCAGATATCGGTAGATGGAGAGGGCGGATCATTCTACCATTTTCCATTAAAATGCAATGATTACACAGACTACATGGACTTACCGGATGGCCTTGAGCAAACCAAAGTTCAATGTCGTGTCGGGTGCCAGCATTTTCCGTCAGAACTGCCAGCCTGTGTTAGCTAGAACAACTGTTAATAGAACAACTGTGAGACACACCACATGTGTCCCCCTCCTCCCCTGCAAGTTCATAGATCATGAATGGGCACTCGACGTTGGCGCGATGACGTTGATCTCCAGTTAGCTCTGGTTTGTGAAGTCTGGTCTTTCGGACGCTCTCCTGGGTAATCTGGACCATCTTCTGGACCTCCGAGAGCTAGAGATAGCCTTATCAAGTTCTCAGATATGGAATGCAAGGCAGGCCCCACCTCGAATCCATCTATCACCTCTACGTCCCCGACCTTATGGCGGCTAATATATGTGGCCAAGGTTGCAGGTCGGGTCGGCATATCTTCTACGAGGATGCACGTCTCACAGATAGGCTTTGATGTCTTCCTCATGCTCTGTGTCTTCGAGGCAGCCTGGGAGGCTAAGGTGTCGGTCTTGCATCGTGAACGCAGCTCATTCAGTGTTCGTCCCATACATACATGAATACGTTCTGAAGCAAAGGCATTAACGAATGTGACATTACAAAGTCAACATCATGCACCGGATGGCTGGGTCCTATCACCGTATATGAGCTGGTGAACAGCCTGGGCCTTAATCTCAGCTCGGCCTGCTTCTCGACGCAAACTTGTTGCAATTTGTTTTGCTGATGTCACCTGACCACCACAACCTCCGCGTTTTTTCTGGTGACATGGTGGAATCACTGTTGGAGGTGGAGGTATGCAGTTTCGTCATGCAGGCCAGAATGTGGCACCGCTTCGTGTATCTCTTTGATTGGGATTTCTGGGAAGGGCGATGCTCTGAAGGTCGAGAAGTGAACAGACGACTTCTAGGGAGAGCAAAGATATACCTCTGGGGCGCCTGGCTCTGCGCTGGCAGATCCCCTGGTTGCACTAGGGCCAGTCATGATGAAAATGAATCTCCCAGATGGCGACTCTATGATAAGAAAACATCCGATTGATTTCCGGAAAATTCGGGACATCTGGCCCAGTTCATGTGGGAAGAATTGGACATGTTGCGGACGTCTACCATTCCTCTCTCAATGAGGATACACACTAAAGCCTTTCCCTTTTCCCTTACCATCACATCCTACATTTCCAGGTTCCTCTCGCTGGATGGTACAGACCGAAGTCAAAATATGTAATATCCGGCGCAATATTGCTTGGGCATGCTCTGACAAGGAACAGCCAGATTCTCCCTTGTGTCACATCTTTCTCTCTTCCTGAAGCCATGCCTGCTTTCCCTCTCAGCCCAGAAGTAAACGCCGAACCGCGCCATTCACTACTGCAGGCTGCGGAAGACAGATCGCAGCGACTTATGGTAGACAACGCGGCCAACCTGCCAGTCTTTCACTACACTGACAATCTCTGGTATGGGAATGACGTTCCTCACTCTCCTATCACTCTGGGTCACAGTTGTACTTGTGGAGGTGACTGCGCATGGAACCCTGATTGTTCATGTCTCTGCCAACAGGTTTCTATGGCAAGAGATACAGGGCTTGAGAGCTTTTTGTTCACATCTGATGGGACTTTAAGAACGGTGTTGTGACTGCAGCCTATTTACGCGTGTAATTTTGCAATCTAGAGTGTTTTACATGCATACTGAGAAATAGTGAGCGAGCGGACTAAAACTACGCGTCAACACTAATGCTACGCGGTGCAATGATATGGAATATAACTTATGGCATAAGAAGCAACAGGATTCTAAACAGGACTTAGTCACAGCACTGTACCTGACGGGCATGCGTGATGAGAAGGCCAAACCCTATACCCAATGCCTTAGGCTCTAACTTACAAGCACACTCGCGGGAGCTAGATAAAACCTTGAAGATTGCACTGACACTGAGAACACTTAGCGCGCTCGCTAACTGTGATGTGCTGTACCTGAAAATCCGGGGAAATCCTTAAGCGAGCTGACAGATATCACCGGCATGAGCTTGGGCAATGGGCTTCGGCCAAAGTCCACGAGCCCGCGTTCCATTGTTCTGAGTCCCATTGTTCGAAGACTCACTTGTTGCCGTGTCTATGAGAAGCCTCTGTGAATCCAAGAAAGAAGTCCTGAACGACATACGCCAGAACTGATAGTTCCGTGCGCCTAGACCTGTCGGTCGCTAGAGAACGAGCCCGCGGGTGTCGGGAGAGCACCTCTTGGCACGCGTTTAGCGAGCTCACTATAGAAATGAGACTAAACCTGGGAAGTCCGACTTGGATGCTCAGTAAGGCAGCGGTGGCAACGTGCTATGCATGTAGGAGTCTGGGTACTGCGCAACGTTTGTAATTCTAATTCCCCTGTAGTATAAGTAGACTGGTTACAGTAGGTAGAGGCCAAGTTTTGAGCCCCCGAGTTCCCGTGCACGCATTGAAGGCGGTACTGTAACAAAGGATCAGTTTGTGACTTCGAGCTGTGCATAGAATTAGCGAGCTCACTCAGAGAAATACGAGATACCCTTTTGATAAGACTTTTGAGAACTTAGTCAGAGTGAATACGAATCAGTGACGTTGTTTCGGTTCTGTTAAGTGTGATAAGTCTGTTCGGAGAATGTGTTGAAGTGGAAATCTGAGATCTGTTCTGTTCTGTTCTGTTCTGTTTCAGTCTGTTCCGTGTCAGTTCTGTTCGAAGTTCCATTTCTGAATCTGTTTTCCGAGTGCTTCTGAAGTGTTCTTGAGTCGAGATAACCTGCTGGAGTTAGTTGGAGAACCCCTACATACAGTTGTGTAGCGAGCGGGCTAAGTCAGTGCTTGCCTGTGGTGTTCTTTTAGCGAGCTCACTAAAGTTTCGGCATGTATTGCCTCTGTTTCTGTTGGGATCAGTGTCCCTTGTGTATTATAACTCAAATCTGCCTTGAAGGTTGCGTCGCGCCAGTGAACGACCTTCCTGTAAAAAGTTCCTAGACTTAGGAAGTCATTAGAGAAAGCTTAGCTTCGCTAAGAGCGCTGAGAATAAGAGAAACTCTTCGAGATATTGAAGTATAGTTGGATCGCATTAGAAATAATCGCTCCCCCTAGAACTTACGAGGGTGATTGTAGTTTGTGTAGTTGTGTGAGTGTGTGTGTGGGTTTTTGAGGTTTGCCTTTTAGCCCGCTCACTATTCCACAGGTGCCCACAGCCAGCCTCTTCAATGGTCGTCTCTGAAGGGGGAGCGAGATTGATTGAATATACAGGTGTGCCGATAGTGGGGTGCAATCATCTATGCAAGTGCGCCTCTCATTGTCAAAACAAGGTCAGTTCGTGGGTTTATATGGGTCGGTACGATTGAAATATTGACGTGCTATTAAGGTGATACTGCGTGGGCGACATGTACCTATCCGCCTATCAGTCACTGCCAGTAAAGGATGGGGTAACTCTGCCTCTTCTTTTCTGTCAGACTTCAGTCCCTTACTCTGTGATCATAGCAGCTTTTTACGATGGACATTATAGACTTCCAGTGGGAACATTTGTTGGAATCTTCACCGGAGAGGTCATTACCGACAGTGACTGTAAAGGACGCACCACGTACGTTAATATTAGCTTGTGGATGTTCTTCAGCTTATGTTCATCCTAGCATGTACAAAAATTTCCGGCATGGCTACATCGTCGACCTCGATTTCCATTGCAACAGGTATTCTGGCATTCAGTATTGTGTCGACAGCACCAGGATCGGGAATGTGAGTTCGATATCTGTGGAATGTGCAATTACTGGTTGCTGACAGGACATGGCAGTTCACTCGTTTCATTGTTTGTGATGATATTCTAAGTCTTTGACAAACTCTGACTTTCATTTTAGAATCATTCCTGTGATCCCAATTGCACCTTTTTCCCTTGCGTTCTGAGTGATGGCATTGCGGACAATTCTTTGGCAGCGGTATTTACCATAAAGGAAGTGACGCCGGGCTCTGAGTTGACAATCTCATACTGTGGAGATGTCCTAACGGTATGATGACATTATCTCCACCTGTAACATCCGCTGATGACAAGAAGTTAACCAAGGCTCAAAAACGGAAATTAAGACAATGCGCTGGACTGGTGCCTTGTCTTTGTGGTGAGCGTAAATGCATTGGTAAGACGCTTTCTGCTCGTGCAGTTAGTCAATTGAAATTTTTTATTAGGCTGGGTTCCAACCGGTAAACCTTGAGGTGACATTAGTTTGCCATGATGCAGCTTGCTTTGGGTCCCCATTTTTTTGGGGGGAACATCTGGCAGGTATCACTGAGGCGTTGTTGTGTTTGGAACTTCGGCTCATCGGACTTGACACATTTCTTTCGTTGTTGGCCGCTTCAGCTTCTTTTGTGGTTATCTCTGCCTTACGCTGCAAATATATTTTGAAAAATTTTAGATTGATGTGTCGTACTAACACTTTTCCTTTCTCCGCACACCACTTGAAGATCCTCTTCTTCTTTCCTAGTTTTTTTGTTCCCCTGTTCAGGTGGTTCCCTTGCTTCGAACTGAACTATAGGTAACGCTTGGTGATTCTGAGTCTGAAGATTACGTGTTCTGCTGCATGTGACTCTCCCACATGTGACCCAGTTGTTGTGTTTTGTTGTGGTCGAGTCGGTAACTGTCCTTCCATGAAAAACATGGCACAGGTAAGCTGCTCTATAGGGTACTTATGGAGGAACCATACTGACCGATATTTTAAGCTTGACACCAGGAGCTCCCATATATCGCTACTGGCTTTCCTAGCTGATGTGATCCCAGATTATCTGGATGCCATCAAGCGGAACGAATTGTTGGGATGGTGGCCTCATTTTTTGGCAGTGCTGCATGAGCAGTTTGATGCAGCAGATATTCTTCGGTTGCTAGGGAAAGATTCTGGTTCAGATTTGCACACCGTAAGTTTGTCATTTTTGTTGCATGTCACCCTGTCATAGATTTGGTAGGTTCTCGAATCATGGTTCGACTGCCGTGGTGGAAAACTGGAAAAGGAAGCTTCTTCCTGCGATATCGTACACATGGGAATGACCAGACCATTTACGTCTCATCCGGGCTTCAATAGTCAGGATGTCGTGGACGTCGTGGACAACGACAGTTGTATCTACCTTGGCAGAAGACACCGGATTTTCAATATCAATGAGGAGCCGATCGCTGCCCAACATGCAGGCCCAAGACATGTTAGATGGAAGGATGAGGAGGAATGTATCTATCTGGGTACGAGGCACCAGGTTTTCGATGTGGATGCAGAACCGATCCCTCACCGACGCCGTGCAGGAAGATGTAGCCACAAGCAAGTGGTGGGGCGCAAGGGGCAAGGTTTCGTCTATACCCGTCTATACCCCTCTTGTGCGTTGATTCTATTATCTTGTGATAGCATTCATGTATCTCCAATGACATGTGTAATTTCCGCTAGTCCTGTTCCCCATGCATGAGCACATAGTAAAGGTTGCTTGGTTTTCTCTGTCTCTTCTTCTGTTCCACACCTTTCCATGCTGAAATCTTCCAAACCCAAACCCAAGGCCTCGGGAAAAAAGGACCAAACGGTCAAGAAACCCAAGTCGACTTTGAACGACTTCTTCCCCACCATGGTTGAACTGACAGCCGCTAGCGGAGGTTCTGGTCAACCCATGACTGTGTCTCGGTTTACGCTCAGTCCAGAGCAGACCAGTATACATAATCTGGTCGTTCATGAAGGGAAGAATGTTTTCTTTACAGGGGCTGCCGGTGAGAGCTTGATTGTCTGGTTGCGATGACAAACTGACCACAAGACAGGGACTGGGAAGTCTCTGCTGTTGAAGGGCATTATTGCATCTCTTCAACGGAAGTATTCCAAAGAGCCTTTGGCTGTGGGTATCACAGCAAGTATGGGAATGGCTGCATCCAATATTGGTGGTGGGTTTCCCTCGCGGCATGAAATTCATGGAGAATGACGCCTCTCAGGTTTCACCCTACATTCCTGGGGTGGGATAGCGCCTACCAAGGAGGATCTTCGAAGTATAATCAAGTCAATCCGCATCAACAAGCAGGCTGCACAAAGATGGCGATCGGCACGGGTCTTGATTATCGACGAGGGTAAGAGGTGCTTAGATTGACTGTCATATACCGTTGTTATATGCCTCCTAGTTTCAATGGTAGATTCTGTCCTGTTTGGTCGTTTGTCTGAGATTGCCAAAGAGTTACGCAAAGCAGCCAACACTCCTTTTGGAGCTCTTCAGGTTTGTCTTGTCGACTTATCTTAGAACCCTTTGTCTGTCTGATACAAAGTGTAGCTCGTTGTATGTGGGGATTTCTTCCAGCTACCTCCAGTCACCAAAGGCAGCCACGAGCCGTCGTTTGCTTTTGAGTCGCCTGCCTGGAAAGAAAGCCTCCACTATTCATTGGAACTTCAGCAGGTTTTCCGACAAAGAGATAGCGGTACGTGAAGATTGTTCCCTTACTGTCCAGTTCCTTATGATTCTTGTAGACATGGTGGATGCTTTGAATTCTCTCAGAATCGGATCCCCAAGTCCCATGGCAATCGCACTCTTTTCTTCCCTCAGGCGCCCTTTGACTCCAAAGACGCTGCCAGGAAGCGTAGGTAAAGTTCGGAATAGCATCATACCAACTGAGCTATTCCCTCATCGGGGTTCAGCCAAGGAGGCCAATAAGAAGCACTTAAAGGGTCTGAAGTCGTTGCTGATCTCATACATCGCCACAGATTCAGGGATCTGACCATCTTTATTGGATACGCTGCTGGTCGAATCATTGTTGGAGCTGAAGCTAGGTGCGCAGGTGATGTTGATTAAGAACGTCGACGAGGCTTTGGTCAATGGTCTCATTGGAAAGGTTATCGGCTTCTACCACCCATGGGAAATCTCATTGGTTGATGACGCCAGTTTGGGGTCCACGGTTATGAGACACGTTTCTCTCGATGAAAGCTATCATGCTATATTACGACCGGATACTCAGCATGTCGGAAAAGCCAAGGATAGCGAGCAGTACCCTTTGGTACTGTTTGAGTACAGCTTACCTCGGCTGAAGGGAGAGGTGGTGGTAGAAGCAGTACTCATCTGCCATGAAGAGTTTCGTATCGAGGACCCAGAGGGGAAGCTCTTAGCCCATCGCTCTGAACTGTGAGTGGATGCTATAATTTTTCTTCTACCCGTTACTGAATGCTACGTCGGCAAAGGCCTCTGGTGCTGGCATGGGTGATGTCAATTCACAAAAGCCAGGGACAGACACTCGATTTTGTCAAGATTGATCTCGCAGGTGTGTTTGAGCATGGACAATCTTATGTAGCTCTTTCTCGTGCATCTTTGGTTGAGGGTCTCCAGGTTTTGAATTTTCGGGCAGAAAAGGTGCCGATTTTCTATTCTGACTATTGTATAATGCTCAATGACAGGCAGGTAACCGCACATTCAAAGGTTCTGGCGTGGAGCGCAAATCTTGAGAAAGTTGGCGTCGCTGATGAAAAGGAATCGAAGTCATCAGCGGCTGTAGCTGTAATGTAATTAGAGCTACATAGTTGCATCCTTCAAGTTGGCATCCTTCGGTGCACCCATAGTTGAGTAGCGTAACATGACACATCGTGATACAAAACCTTGTGTCTGAAATGTCTGTCATTTAACTGGTCAGGGCGTGAGCAGAACAAATTGGGTATGATATTTACTGTTTCATAATGAAGCTAGTCTGCTCGAAGCGATACATAATATAGTATATCCGGGCAGAGTTATCGAAGGAGAATGAGAAACAAAAATTTTTAAAAAAAGTATGATTGAATTGAATCAAGCGTCTTTTCAGTTCAAAGATGATACTATGCATGTAAAGCTGGCAGCAGAAAGATTAGGGTCGGCCTTAAGTACTGCTACAACGTGGTCCCCATGGGCTTGATCTTGAGGCCTAACTCCAGCCAGTCGTGTTCCGTTGAGACAAATCGCAACATTGCCACAATACCCATGAAAGAAACCTTGAGGATTGTATGTCCTACCCTGGAGGGCGGTACGCACATTCACAGGTAAAAGGCGGGTTTGCAACAAGCGCGTCTCCCAGGATGGTATGTTGATGATGAGCTGGAAGGTAGAAGTAGGGTAGAACTTATAGGGACTCCACCAGGATTGCGTCGTGCGAAGGGCGTAAGAGATGTTTCCCATGGAACCCACAATTGCAAGAGAGTTGAGAACTTGCAAGTCCCTGAGGGACATGTAACCGCTAATGGGGTACCAACCCTCAGGGCAAGTATATGCTATGGGAGACCCCATTAGAATGATTTTCAAAGCAAGGTGTGATAAACTTATGTAGTTGTAGTCGGAGAAAACGGAGGGTGGTGCCAACTTCACGAAAGATGAGAGGGCCCAAATGAAGAAGGTCATTGGTTAAACCAATGTCAAGTCGGGTGAGGCGAGGCGCACAAAGAAGATGAGGATAAGTTTCTGTGAGCTTGAGATATGGGACAAAGGCGTCCTCAGCATCTGGGAGGGAAAAAAGCTGAGAAATCATATGTTTGAAACTATCGAGGGAAACGGCTTCTTGAAAGGTTCGCATGGGAGTCGGCACGCCCAGTTGTGGCAGAAGGACATGGAAACCAGGAGAACGAGTCGTGATCGAGCGAAGAGTGGTAGGTGGAGGACAAGAGATCTCTGGAGCAAGGTAAGTAGAGATTCCCCATCGTGCACACCATTCCTCCCTATGTGACAAAGACCTTCTCGGAAAGGTGGGCTGAATAAAGAAAGATTAGATAAGAGAGTGTTTGAAGGAATTATTACTTACGATATTGCCATTAATCAATCCTGATATTTCCAGAGATCTAAGGCGGGTGCCAGGGGATAACATAGCCTCGACGCTATGTGATTCATTGCCCGTGGTTAGGAAGGTTACGTTGTGCACCTTCAAATGCTGGATGTGAGGTGGACACAGAAACGGGAACGGGATGATCGGGTTGTTGGCAATCTGGCAGTTGTGGCCTTGAATTGTGAGGGACTTGAGGTGGGGAAAAAGGGAGAAGAAGAAAGCGACATTGGCCACGGACCAGTTGGTGAGATTCAGAGAGACTGCCCGGTTACCGACATTCCAGATACGGGAGAAGGTTGCTATGCCCATTTCCTCGCCATGGCAGATACGTTCAATTGTGGCTGGCGTATACATGGTGCGCCAGTGGGAGGGAAGACTCAGTTTGAGGTGCGTATGGCTATATTGACTGGCTACAGCATGTGATGCTTTGTCCAAGAGGCGAAGAGATATCAGGGTGGATTGATCAGAGAAATCGGTTATGCGATTTATTAATTCTAGCGGGAGTGACTGATAGCCTGACGGTGAAGCCAAAGAGGTTGACGGAAGATCAGGAAGCGGAGTATGGGTCTGTGGACTGATGGTGGGCAACCGGAGGAGCTGTGCATAGAGAGTACTGTTATAGAGGGAGGCAATTTCGGTGACAGCCTCCTGAAACCGGTAGTAAATATGGTTTCCTGGGAAAATGAAATGAAATGAATGATGAGGGTCTGGATATTGTGGAAATCGTACCTTCCAGATGACTCTGCATCCTCTCAGCAGGAGTATCATCGGCATCATACATGTCAACTAAAGTACGGACCAAGGAAAGGTCGAACTAAATGAGAATCAGGGTCAGTAGTTGAAGCTTAGGCGATAAGCTGGCTCCACAAACTGGTCCTTCTTGAATGAGTACAACAAGTTCAAATGTAGGCAACTGTAAAATAGCCTGACTCGCAATTAATTGCAGCGCCATGATGAACACTGGGTGGTACGTACTGAAGGTGGCTGTTGGCCATGAATGGCAAATACGTGCATGGTTGAAGGCATGGTAATTTTGAGAGAAATAGGTGGTCAGCAAAAGCGACACAAATGAAGATACACTGACACGAAGGAACACTGACTGTGGAGATATTTATGCTGGGATGGCTTGGGGACGGCTCACGGGAGGGGCACGAGGTGATGCGGAACACGGCGTTTGTTGGCATTGAAAGAATGGATGTCGAAGTTGAACAACCCCAAGAGAAGATATACAAGTACAGAGCATAATGCGGTAATCAACCAAGGGATAACCTAAAAATTTAACCTTAGCAAGCCGGACGATGACATTACGATTGGATTGACAACCGTAGAAAATGTGGTTTGTAATACGAGGTCTTAATCGGAAGGAAATATATGTCATGAGAAAGTTACTCGCGCATGGGGAATCGAACCAAGAGCAATAGGGTAATAAAAATTAGATTACATAGTATCACATTACCAATCCGCCGTAATACCATACTTAGTACTGGAGGTAGAGGCATATCATTGCAATTCGCTTGTTTCAAAGACAGGATTTTTTGCCGGTCCTCGTTGGCTGTAAAGACTTTGCTCCCTTCGGCAAGGCGCAAATCAAAGTTAAGTACTCTATCAATGGCAAATTCTGAGATATATTGGAGAAGGTGACAGTTAGCGCACTCATGTTAACCCAAGGGTATACGGATACATATACGCACGCTGCCGCTAACTAATGATCATGGTAGGGATGCTAGCGAAGAATGTCATCGCAGGATCTTGAGGGGCGAAACTTCAGCCTGCTAGTTTAATATCCATTAACATGAACGATTCTTAGAGATGAGTATTCGAAGTTGAGAATCTTGAGACGGAGGTACCATATGGCTTCAAGGGTGGAGTCATGTACACAAGTGTAAGAGAAGATCTGATCGGGAGGGTTATATCAGAGGCGGCAGGACCATAAAGGAATGGAGGCGGGGCAGGCGGCAAGCGTGACAATGGTGTTTGGCAAGAGGTTTTGGAGGAAGGCCAGGGGACTGGGGTGCTTGGGCCGGACAGCGACATGGCGCCGTTCAGGACAGGTCACAGGGGCCCAGGTACCACGGAAGCAATATTCGGAAATGAGATCGGGATCGGGATGGTCCCAATCGACTAATCACTCTCTACAGCGATCCATGTCGTGTAATAGGATAATCATGATCAGTATGTGTACCCTCATCCATGACTGATTGATGTATCACCCGGCTGGGTAATCATCTAAGCTGATCCAAGCCAGAATTGCCTTGCTCAAGAGTAATACAAGAGTTAGTTGTCAATAAGGATGTACGTCGTCGAAGCATGTAAAGTGTATGATAAGTGTCTTTCCAGGAGAAGTCCCGGAGTAAGCGATGTGGTAGACTGTAGAGTTCATCAAGGACGGGCATCTTCATATCTCCTAGTCACTTGATTTCACTGGAAACCCGTTCTCCTTTAAGAATGCACAATGTTCATCTTGGTAACCTCTCATCGTTGAATCCGTGATACGATGCCAGATGGGGAGTCCTCACTTTCACATCAGAATCTGCTCGAAAAGATCAGAAATGGACTTATATCCAAAAAAAAAACTAGATTTTTGTCGAGAACAATACCATTGCGAGGTGTTGGTGCTTTGTTGGAGAACGGAAAATATTTCCCAGCACTTCATTTGCTCAGGTTCGAAAGTCGCTTCTGAAGATACCTTTCAAGGACACCAGAATAAATGCAGCTGGACCTTTTCCTCGAAGTTGTCTTTTCGCAGCACGTTTGGTGTGCCGGTCGGCGCCAGGACCCAATAAGGAACGGAAGGACTCGGCATTCGGCATTCGCCGTTTTACACAGTCATTCCGGACCGGACTTTCTCAAACAAGCGGGCTCTATTTTCAGCCCTTGACCGGTGATCACTGAAGTTTTTGATTCCTTCCTTTAGGATCATCAGTTACCGGGAGTTAAGTATTGCTCTGGAACCTATCTACCACTCTCAGCGAAGTACCATCGAAGGTATGTAACACTTTCGTGGCCATCTGGCGTACCGAATGATATCGTCTCGTCGCAAGAACTTAGCATAACGAAGACGGACACGGACTCTTGTTCACATCGAACGTTACGCCCGCCTCCACCTATGAACAATGCACTGCAAGAAAGCTCCCAAAGTGTTTCGTTGAGTATTCTGTTGTGGGGCTTGTACTGCCTAAGATGTGATGCTATCATGTGTTCTGACCATCACTAGAGCGTTGAAAAGCTATTGTATTGAGTGACTCATCTTCATACGGATCGTTGATTCTGGTTTAGAATAGTATTAGTCGTAAAGGAGGAAGGATACAAAGTCTTCCATCTGGCAACTACGAATCGTGAATGTTGATTTCCAGTTTTATTCGTTCTTCGATCACTGAAACTTCCTTTCAGATACTATGGGCTAGATTCCTTGATGAACAGCGTATGTGGGGGACCCCCGGTGCCAAATCATGGTTTTATGATGTTTTCCGGTACATCCGGTCAATGTCCTCGCCCAATACAAACATACAGCAGCACGCTTATATGAACTCTGAATAAAGGTATCTGTGAGTAGTCTTGTCATGAAACCAGGGAATTAAAATTGCGTCTTTCGTAGTCTCGTTCGAGAGCCAAGCATGAACGGCAATAAAGTGTAGCCGGACTAACCCAACACAGACTAGCGAATCGCAGTGCTTTGCACTTTCACTGATGCTGATGGAGCTTGCATTCAGTCGCCGCTCGCGTCGTGTGCGACAAGCAATCGATAGCTTCATATTGAAACGCTGGTCCCTTGGTTTCGCTCCCTCCCAATGATCGGAACAAGACTCCTGCCCGACTGCTGGTTGGATCTCCCGTTGCGGAGTGATCAACCACACAGGAAAATTAGATCCACTGGATTCCCGTGATACTGTAGACACTTAAGAAGCTGCTTGAGAGAATTCAAGTTCTTGTCGACATCAACCATGGGTTCTTTCCCAATACCTGAATCATATTTTATCGGCCTTGGCTGTGAAATATTCTTGCACGGTATGTCCTTGGTGTTCTTATACTTGCTGTATTATTCACGATAATTCAGGACTTTACACCGGCCTGTTCCTGACATCAACATATCTTCTATTGTGCGAAAGGATACAGAATTTCACCAGCAACATTATTGACCATTGTTCTGTTTCTAGGTTCAAGAAGAAGAAGAGTCGAGTCATTGCTGTCATGACTCTCGTTAATATCCTCATGTACATTGTGGCTACTGCCCACTTGATCATCAATTTCAAACAGGACTTGTCAGCATTCCTTTCGATATATCATAACAATGCCAATGCCTCAAGCGTATTCCATAATACCTCATCTGCGATACAGTGGTCGCAACTTATACTAGGAATTGTGAATGTGCGTGAGTTTCCAGAAGTTGATTGTCGAGCTTCTGCTTAACTTAACTAACATAGATAGCTTTTGGCGATGGGATCGTGATATGGAGAGCATGGATTTTATGGAATCGTAGGCGGTGGATTATCGCCTCATCAGTGGTTCTTCTTCTGGTAACCGTAGGCAAGTATTCAGTATTTAGACGTCGTCGTTCATGCTGATTTTTAGCATACCTCAAGGCTCAGGAAGTGGGCTTGTATACACCGTTGCAATGACACCAGCAGGTGTCACTTTCACTGATTCCAGTGTTGAGAGCTGGGCCATTGCATTCATCATTTCAACGTTTTCAACAAATCTGTGGACGACGGCGCTTGTTGCCTATCGTACATGGTGAGTTTTGTCTTGGACAAAAGTTTTCACCGACTAAATATGAAAACCATTCGGAAGGTCGCACTTCAAGCTAGTCCGTCATCTCACCGGCATCTCCATCCTGGGTAGCTTTCGCAAGCAAAGTGCGATTCTCCCTATTCTGATTGAGTCTGGCACTTTATATTGCTGCACATGGGTATGCCTCATGCTCCTCTTCATCTTTCTGTCTGACGACGTTGAATCCCAACAGCTCATCGTCATCGTCATATTTATTTCCTCAAGTAATGCAATCTATGTCATGATAGACACAATCTCCCAACTGACGGTCGGTTGTTGCAATTCTAATGTTTTTGGAGATACTAACAGGAGACCAATAGGCTATGTATCCGACTCTTATCATTACCCTTGTTTGCATTAAGTCCACCCTTGATGTCGCCATCGAAACATTTCATCAAACTCAGACGAATACTCAGACCCAAAGCCAGTCATGGACTCGAAGGCCTCCTGCTCCAACACAGGGATCATTAGATGACTTTACAACTACAGTTTCTTCAGATCGAGGCCTCGGGAGTACCTTGGATACTTCAGAAGATCCTAGTATCGAATCTGTGGTGGATAGGAAAGCATTATATCCGAGTCCCACGGAGTCGGACGATGCTCTCAGAGACTGTACTCATGGTATAGTTTAGGGCACGCATGCTGTACGACTTCCTCGGAACCTAATTGATGGAATGTGTTTATTATCTTGAAGAAAGTACAGTGTGAAAAGTGTACATTGTAACGACACGACAATGCTAGTAATTATCATGTATTCCACCGTCGTAGGATCTACAAAATAAAACATGCTTGCCTGCTAGTTAGCATTGTTTGTGTAGGCGTAGCATTCGTCCTGGCTGGCCAGAGGATGAAAGAGGGGATACTCACACATTCAATCCGCATCCTCTGCAACAAGAGAATAAATGATGCTTATGCCAGTTGAAGTATATGCATCGTAAATGATTCCTGAGGTGAACAACGTAAGCGAACACAGGAAATTAGAAAGACTGAACACATCAGGAGTATCAGCATCGAAGACACCTAGATTACAGGACCCTGGAAGAATGTGGTTTTGCGTCAGAACCGACCATAGATATACGCATGATGTTCACCATGTGAGAGTCCGTCAGGTCGTCCACATCACAGTTATCCCCGCTGGTGCACCTATCCTTGTCATCGTTCTCCTTGTGAGTCCCCATGCTCATCGGAACGCGATACGTGGTCTCCGCGCAATATCAAGAGGTTTTGAGGAGAGGAAGGTATCGTTCCGGCAGGACCTGGAGCTCAATCTTTACTATCAAAACACAAAGAGAAATAGAATACTCTCTCACGATGAGCTCGTCTTCGCGCGTAAATCTCAAAGTCAGCACCGTTTCTACCAAAATCTCCGGCTCTCAAAACCCGAACTTATAAACGCGTTTTCTGTTCCCACCTCGTGGTTACGCAGTCCAAATGGAATAAGAAAGAAAAGACGTACGAAAGCGACGTGTGCAAGAGTGGACTGCGTGGATGGATGTGATTGAGTATTCCCCTTCATGCAGAGGCGCCCTGTATCCCGTCAAGCAGTGGAAGCCCTTCATCAATCAATCGATCATCGTCTAAGGTCATCCTACAACCCGCTTGCAGGAATACGATCCATCGTGTCAGTGCAAAGTTCTGCCCTTAACTATATCCGTTGAAGCGTCGGTCTGCCGGCCCGGAGAGAGTTGTTCACCATGGCTGTGTATTATCGGCATTCTCCACTCTTCCGGATTTCTGAGACTGACCACTACCGCAATGAACGCACTCAGACTATTCTCCAGAAGTCTTTTACGAACGCAATCGAGTCATTCGATGAAAGGACTTGGGACATGGAACCATCTAGCTCTTCGAATTATGTGTACGAGTGACAAGAATCCCGCAGTCGAAGCAGTGAGAAACGCTCTGACTGAAAGCACCTTTAGTCATGGCCAACTCGAGGTGCCCTCTGACAAGCTCTTACTCTTTTATTCCATGAAACAAAGGGGGATGGAAGGAGCAGCACGGCTAGTATACGATTCCAAGCTCGTGCTCTCCCTCTAATCTATTTGACCAGTGTTTTGAATCTTGCTAATGCTTCTGAAGACTCTCTTCACGACCTCTGCGAAGCAGCAGATGCAGCAGGATTCGGTCTAGGTAACCAAAATACATTCGACGAAACGTACCGCAAGTCCAAGGAGCTCAACACCTCCCGATTCGCCTGTAACTTTGATCCTCGAACTATGAAGATCTTCGACCAAGTACAGACTGATCTCATTGAGGGTGACGACGAAATCGAGAAGGTCTTGCGTCCTGAACTTTACAAATTAAACATCTACAGTATGTACCTTCGGTGTTAAAACGTCAGATACTAGACTGAGATATCCCTTTCAGGTGAAGGAGACTTCTTCAAGGCACACAAGGACACCCCTCGTGCTCAAAATATGGTAGGATCTATGGTCATCGTCTTTCCTACGGTCCACAAAGGTGGATCCCTCGTTCTCCGCCAAGATGGCCAGGAATGGACCTTTGGTGCTGAGAAGATGCTTGCGGACAGTACGCCTGAGGTCCCGGTGATCTCATACATCGCATTCTACGGCGACACAGAGCACGAGGTTCTCCCTGTAACCTCGGGTGTTCGGGTAACTCTAACGTACAATCTATATCTCGAGGACAAGATGCCGACTGCCCCCGCCCTTATTACCGAAGCCTCTAGTAATCCTACACCGGCTGATGTTCTGAAGACGGCTCTCCAAAAACTATTGAAAGATGAAACTTTCCTTCCCAAAGGAGGCCTTCTGGGGTTTGGTCTCCAGCACCAGTATGCGATCTCTGAGGATTGCGGGGTAGAACAAAGTCGAAACGAACTACGGCAATTGGCAGATAGGCTCAAAGGCAGCGACGCTAGTATCCTGCGAGCTTGTCGAGATCTTTCCTTGGACGCCAATATTCGCATTTTCCATGAAGCTCGATTCTCGAATGGTGTCTGGATGGCCGATCATGTCATCCCTGGGGAACAGATAAACGAGCAAGCTGAAGACATGGAAGTGTTGCTCGATGAGCACGGAACTCGAGTATCGGACCCTGATTATGAGCTGAGAGATGATGAGGAAGCGGAATCACTACCAGAGATCGTCTGGGTTACTCCGATTACGGTGTTGAATGAAACCGAGTCGCACTACCTTGCATATGGGAACGAGGCTACTGTTGGTTATCTATATGGCGATGTTTGTCTCATTGTCAATGTTGGAAAGCCCGGGAGTCGAGAGCAAGGTTCGGTATCCGTAGCATAATAGTATGTAGCGAGACTCTATGACGCCTCAATGATATGGAATCGCAGCAGATTTTATGCACTTCGGAGGATCATTAACAAAAGCTGATTTCTCCTGCACTGTTCTAGAAGTCGCCTCGTTAACGGCTCCGAAAGACTTGGAGTCAGACCTCGCGAGGCACGTGGGCTACCCGGCTTTTCAACTGTGACCATGACTGAAAAACCAGAACATCCCGCCATTGAGGCAGTGAAAAACGCCCTAAAAGAAAGAACCTTCAGTCAAGGACAAGTCCGAGTGTCTTCTAATGAACTGTTGCTGTTTTATTCCAAACGACAGGAAGAAAAGGCAGGAGCAGCGCAGTATGTGGGCATCGCTAGGCTACTGTCGTCGTTTAACATTTTTCACCAGCTTTCTGAATCTTGGTGATGCTTCCGAGGCATCGCTTCGCGACCTCTGCGATGCTTGTGATGCCGCGGGATTCGGCTTGGGTACCCAAAATACGTTCGACGAAACGTATCGCAAGTCCAAAAAGCTCGACACTACCCAATTTTCTAGTAATTTCGACCTTCGGGCTACGAATATCCTCGACCAGGTGCAGGCTGACCTAGTTGAAGGCCAAGACGAAATTCAAAAGGTCTTACGCTCCGAGTTGTACAAGTTGAATGTTTATGGTAAGAACATTTCGTGTTTAAGACAATGAAGACCAGGCTGACATTTTGGATCGCTAGGAAAAGGAGACTTTTTCAAGGCCCACAAGGATACTCCTCGTGCTGAAAATATGATGGGGTCTCTTGTCATTGTATTCCCCACTCCCCACGAAGGAGGGTCGCTCGTCCTTCGCCAAGATGGCCAGGAATGGGTGTTCAGCGCAGAGCGGATGCTTGCTGAAAGTACTCCTGAGACACCCGTTATCTCCTACATTGCATTCTATAGCGATGTCGAGCATGAAGTTCTCCCACTCACATCGGGCGTCCGAGTGACTTTGACTTATAATCTCTACCTCGAGGACAAACTTCCGGCTCCTGAAAGCTTACTCTCGATTACCGAAAATCCTGTCACTGACCATGTCAAAGACGCCCTTCAAAATCTTCTGGCAGCTTCGGATTTCCTTCCCGAAGGAGGCATGTTAGGATTTGGTCTCCGTCATCAGTATCCTTTCGCCACGTCGACAAGCTCCAAAGGGAATGTCGATGAAATTTATGGAAACCCCAACCTTGATCATCCGAGGAATTGGGGTTCTCGTGACTCTCAAAAGAGGGCGAAAGAGCAGCTCAGTCAGATAGTCGATTTCCTGAAAGGTAGTGACGCCAGCATTTTTCGTGCTTGCCAAGGCCTGTCCTTGGAACCTACTCCGCACATCATCTACCGTCCTCGAGGCTATGGCGCCGTGTACATGTTGGATCATGTCATTCAAAATTTGGACGCACAAGGGGAATTGGAGCTCGATTACCTTGATACAGAGTTGCAGAGGCTCGGCACATTGATATCGACCACTGAGCGTTGGGCCAGGCCACCGCGCACTCATGAGGGGAGCGAGGCACTGCCTGAGATCGTTTGGGTCACCCCACTTACGACGTTTAACCGTATGGATTCAAATTATATTCGGTATGGGAACGAGGCTTCTATGGGCTACCTATACGGCGATATTTGCCTCATCGTCAAAGTCGGAAAACCCGGAAACCGAGCGACTTGATGCCTTCGAACATTGGAGAGTCCCCACAACGTTGTTGTTTACTTAGTTACATCGTAATTTTGCCCTTTTACTTCAAGTTCCCACATTCCCAAAATATTTCAGGGTTGGCTGGACGAATTTATCCTTTTACTCGTTTTTACGGCGGTTTGGCTTCATGCCTAAGCGAGAGATGTAGTCATCAATAGTCTCGGTACCGGTCGTAGTACTAGCATCTGAACCATTGACTTGTTCACACGTTTTAACGTGATCGTTTACTCCATAAATTAATACGTCTGTTGCTTTACAACAGCCTGAAGCCTAGACAATTAAGAAGATACTCACAGGAATCAAGTTCATTCACGGCTTGCGTCAAATTTCCTCGGATTCCTCCAGCTCTGAACTTGAAGCGGCACGGCATGTCTCGGTACACAAGCATACCTTTTGGACGTACTGTGCTTATTTCCCAACCTGGCTGATGCCACAGAATAATCACCTTAGGATCTCTGCAATGCGTCCAATCCTGCCAGCTTTGGTCTCGGAAATAAGGTCACATTCGATCGTAGCTCAAATTGAGTCTATTCCGGCATTTTCGGTATATACAAAATTTGATACTCCGCGACAAACTCCGACACACGATGGAAATCTAGCCGCGATATACTTCGTCTTCGACGCCGTCGTCGTCCTCGATGTCCACCGTCCTGACTTCGTTGCCCACGATGGGATTGCCATCGTCGGTGCAAACAAATTCTGGTGACCCGGTCCGTGCTTCTGTTGGCAATCTACTCTCAAGGGCGTACTCGCTGCCCTGCTCGACTGCGGCACAGGCTTTCATTCAGCTTGTGCAGCCAACTTCACGATTTCAGCTGGCTCTCGACGTGTTGTTACCTCTCCTAGACCCAAACACTTCGTCGGAGGTACGTCTGGCGTCGTCAGTGACCTTCATACGTTCTGACAAACGTCCTCTTCAGCTTGCTCAGCGGATCTTGGTCTCTTACATCTTGTATTCTCTATATGCGCCTCATCCTATCTCCATTAATCCGTTCAAATCGGTGCTCTTTGTCACTTTTGTCTATGAACGAGAGAAGGCCGTCGCTGCTGCCAGCCGGGGCGACGTCTCAGTCAATGAGCAACTGGTCTGGGTGCTATGGAAGATTCTCAGAGGTGACGGAAACGATGTAAGTTCCAGTGATATAGGGCGAGGCTTGTGCTGATCATGCGGTAGATTGGTCCTTATTCTCCAAGCACGCTAGCGCGATCGCCTTTGCCGCCCAAACTTAGAGCTACTAACTTACTTCTCGACGATGATATGTACAATAGCGAATCCGAAATGTGCGTTTGACATTTTATATCCTTCTTTTGTCTCTGATCATCTTTATAGAGACGATTATACCCCCAAATCACAACGTATTACCACGACTACGACAAATACGACAGTGATCACTGCCGAAGAGGATGCTGCCAATGAGGGCATAGCACACGCGATGAAGCTTCTGCTCGATGCCCGGGAACGAGTTTTGACTTTGTCTGAGCAACGGGTGAGTCACTCAACTCGCCCGAAGACGTCACTTTCCTCATCTGTTGCTGCAGGCTGTGACTCCATCCATACATGCACTAACTTCTTCACAAATGATCACTCCCCTGGACCTTGCACCTATTATTACTAATAATCCTAACCTTGCGCACCCTCTCTTCGTCGCCCTCCTTTCAACCGGACCTTCGGAGAGTAATCTACCTTCGCCTTTCCTTGACATCTTGTCCTCTCTCCCTCCTACCCTTCCGTCGTTTGACTTGATGGGTCGTCTTCTACGTGAACCCACCATGTCCGCCAACGGTTCCATTACCATTGCTGACCTTGTCCGCACCGAAGCACTTGGCAGGTTTGTGCACGAGTGCATCAATTGGCTCGACCAGGCGGAGCTGCAGGAGAAAGAGGGGCTCGTCAGTGATGACCGCTTCGCCAAGGGTGTTCAGCATGTAGGTCGCTTCCTCTTCTGTGCATGAGGATATTAACGCAAAACAGCTTTGCCGATTCTACACATCTTTGATCAAGCTCTCGCTGGTCGACGCCGCACTGGATGCCGATACTGCCGAAATGGCGCACTTTAGCTTACGCCACTCACGATTCGAAGAAGCCAACCATCTTTACCGGGTTTTGGCTACCGGAATGCTGTGAACTGTATTTCTGTCGTCTCTTTACTCTATGGCTATGGTTTATGCTTATGTTTTATGCCTCTGGACTAGCGTCGCCTCATACTGTACTTTATCAGATATAGGGAAGATTATATTTCAACTCACCACGCACTCATGTACTCATGTACTCATGTACTCACTGAACGTCAATTACATGTCAATGTTATTAACATAATGGAATTTGTATACGAGGCAGAGCCGTGAGTCTTCCTCTTCTGATGCACATATAAAGTAACTACATCCTACTTAAGCTTTGTCAATCCATCCGACTTCCGGGCTGTCCAACTTTGACAATGAGACAAACATCGCCGTATAGATAACCGACAGATGCCTCGTTCCCGTATACCATGTAGCTCGCTTCCGTCCGATTGAATGTCGTAATCGGAGTAACCCAAACAACCTCTGGCAGCTTCACGGTTTTTCCACTATACTTGAGTTGATTCTTCACATACTCGTCGGATGCCGACACAAGTGTCCCGCTTTCTTTCAGCAACATCTCCTCCAGTTCGTCGTCCTCATAATATCCATCTTCCTGGTCAGGTATAATATGGTCGGTCATGTAGACGACATCCCAGCCTCGAGGTCGGTAAAGGATACGAATGTTGGCGTCCAAGCCAAGCTCGTGACAGGCTCGTAGAATACTGGCATCACTGCCTTTAAGATTATCCGCCAACTGCGATAACTTTTCGCGTCCTTGTGCTATGAATTCGCCGTCGCGAATATAATCGTTGAAATCGTCGTCAGAGTTGCCGTCGATTTTGAACGAGCTCGTTCCACTGCGATATTTAGAGACCGCGAAGGGGTACTGATGCCGCAGTCCGAACCCCAGCAAGCCTCCCTCGGAAAGAAAATTCTTGTCTGCTAGAAGGGTTTGCAGCGCCGGCTTCAGAACATCAACTGGTGTAGGATTGCTAGAGGCTTCGACAACGAGGGTAGGGGCAGTCGGCTTCTTGTCTTCAAGATATAAATTGTACGTTAAAGTTACCCGAACACCCGAGGTTACGGGGAGAACCTCGTGCTCTGTGTCGCTGTAGAACGCGACATATGAGATCACCGGAGCCTCGGGCGTACTGTCCGCAAGCATCTTCTCAGCACTAAAAGTCCATTCCTGGCCATCTTGGCGGAGAACGAGGGATCCACCTTTGTGGACCGTAGGAAAAATGACGACTAGAGATCCCATCATGTTTTCAGCACGAGGAGTGTCTTTATGGGCCTTGAAGAAGTCTCCTTCGCCTGAAAAGAATGATTAGTGTCTGCTATCTCACCACAGGACCTTCCTACCATAGACGTTTAGCTTATACAGTTCAGGGCGCAGGACCTTCTGGATTTCGTCCTGGCCTTCAATGAGATCAGCCTGTACTTGGTCGAAGATTTTGGTCGCTCGAGGGTCAAAGTTGCAAGAGAATTGGGTGATGTCGAGCTTCTTGGACTTGCGGTACGTTTCATCAAATGTATTCTGATTACCCAGACCGAATCCTGCAGCATCAGCGGCGTCACAAAGGTCGCGAAGGGATTCCTCAGAGGCGTCAGCAGGATTCAAGAGGCTGGAAGAGTAATTTAGAGGAAATCAGTGGCGTGGGATCATATACTAACTGTGCTACCCCTTCCTTTCCCTCTTGTTGCTTGGAATAGAAGAGTAGGAGCTTGTCGGAGGACACCTCGAGTTGGCCATGACTGAAAGTCCTCCTTTCGGTTAGGACATTCTTCACTGTTTCAATTGCGGGATTCTGAAGTTTGGTGCTCATGGTTCGTGGAAGAGTTGTATAAAAGTAGTCAGACTGATTCGGTGCCGTCGACGTAACTCAGACTGACTCCTAAACGGCGTGGGAAATAGAACTTGGGAAGTCATTAATTCTTTCTGTGTTTGTCACTGCCGTCAGAACACATGGCGCTTCGGCATGCTCGGCTCACCCTACCCGGTTTTTTTCTTTTCTCCGTTTCTCTAATTTATTTTTTCCAGATTGAGTCACAGTACACAACCAGTCATTCAAAATTACTGTTCATTTAGGCCAAGCGCCACGGAATATTCTACCAGACACAAACGAGTTCAAACTTCAATGTTCTTCGGCTATCAAGACCATCACAGCAGCCGATTCCGACAGCAGCGAACACATGCCGCTAATCCACAGTGGGTACAGACCTGGTACAGTGTTAGGATGCTCGCAATAGGACCTGCTAAATGGCGATAACTTACAAGAAGATACTCCCGCAAATACCAACTGCATTCTTCGCATCTCGCTCCCCCATTTCTTCTTCTCCAGCTGTGTCGGACGCAGGTCGTGGTTGGATCTCAGCTGCTCTGCTCTCGCTGCCACCTCTCTCTGGAAAATATCTGGTGCGGCTGCTGTGGCGCGAGGACCCATCTCCTCTTCCACCCTTCGCTGAGCAGTGATATACAATCGATCTTCATCCCACTGCGGGCAGTGGCAATTCTTCCACGGTACCGCACAAACATAGCAGAACTGCGTGAGGCACCTGCACGTCATATGATAGCAACCATGATTGAGCTCAATAATTGAATGACAGTCCTGGGACAGGTCTGCCATCGCTGGTCTCGGGCTAGCGCATGCAAGTCTTGAATCGCAGCGTTTTCGACACAGTTCTCCCCTCGATGTGCATTCTGTTTGCATAAAGGGCAGACAGCTGTCCCGCATGCCGTACATACCATGTCCGCGTCTCCTTCCCTCTGACGAACCAAGGAAAGCCGAGCAGATAGGGTTCTGACAGTAAACGCGGCTCATGGCTGGCGTTCCTAGCTCTCTGGACTTGATTTGAAAACGTGTTCGTAAGGGAAAAGGGAAGGAGTGGTAAGAAATCTCTCTCGACAAGAGGTCGGCCGCAGCATCGGACAGGGTACAGTGATTCGTCGTTGATACTAGCCTGGACGAGATCTCGGAGGCAGCCATGGCAGTACTGATCTTCACACGGAGCACGGAAGCTACGCTGTGCCCTGAGACGATCTCCGCATATAACGCATTGGGACGAGGTAGATGGTGAAGGCGGTCTGGTCGAGAGAGGCGTCGAGGTGCCCGTCGTAATTAGATCTCTCTCGTTGGTAACATTAGCATTGGTTGCCATGTTGGGGGATGATGCGTGAAGAGTGTTCTCACGAAGGCGGGATTCTCCAAGAGGCTTTGATTCGCAGACTGAGCGGGGAGCTCAGCACCGTTCGATAGTGCGAGCGCGTATCTGTGATCGTCCTCGGCCGCCTGTTCCACCGCCAGCCAGTTGGCATCTGTCTCTAAGGCTCGGCTCAGGCTCTGGGCTAGCTGGAGATCCAGCTCCATGCGCCAATAGTCTGCCTGAAGATCGAGGGCATACTCTTCATCGCTCTTTGCTACATCGCTTCGCCCCTTTCCCTTGCGAGCACCCGATATCTCTGTAATATCTTGGAGAGTGAGCTGAGCGATGAGCGCAGATGTTGCTTCGTCTATGTCTTCTATCATGGTGGGTGTTGGGGAAATCGATGATCTCAAGGGTCGTCTATATGCTTTAATCGATAACACGTTCCTTGGCGCTTAAGTATATTCACGATGTCGTCTGCTTCCGGGCATCCTCGTCTATCACTTTTTTCAATTTCCTTCATTCATGCCATATATCAGACACAAAATAGATGCTTGTCCCAAAAGCCCTCTGTCGGTTAATATTTTCTAAGTATTATTGAGCCATTTAAACGAGCATGGTCCATAAAAAATAGGAAAACAAATAAGACGAAGGCAAAAGGCTTGAGATCAGCTGTGCTAGGTTCGGTTGTCACGCTCGCACTGGCGGTATCAATATCAGTAGCAACTTGAGCATTTTCCCTTTTCTTTGAGCCGACCGCGTTGTTGACGCGGACACTCGGATTATCCTCTTTCCCATAATCCTCGAAAAACCGAACCAACGGCGCCAAGTCCTCCTCTATAATTGCGTCGTTGTACCAATCCAGCGAGCGCAATCCCTCCGACCTAAGGGCTAGAACGTTTCCTGCCCAAGGGTGCGGGGCTTTGCCTTGGTGACACTCTGAATGCAGCGGTTGATCGGGGACCCGTTGATCAAGAAGTTCTCGTCATAGTACAGTGCGAGAGTACGACCAAGCGATGGTCCATTGACCCCGAACGTCCCAACATAGAAAAAATAGGGACAACAATCTTTGCCACCGAGCCATGGCTCTCTTTCCAGCATCTGCCAGCGTCCAGGCTCATCTTCATCAACAGGACCGTATGACCAAGGGAGTTTGATGACCCGAGGTTTGAATTTCATTGACGCCAAAGAGAATAGCGTCAAAGGTGTTGGTGGCGGCACGGACTCGCTTGCAATATGCTTTGTGCATGGGCCAGTCCTAGATGAAGTTCTCCTTAGAATTTCGCGGCGACGCACGAGAAAGAGACGCACTTGGGCGATGTGCGCCTTGCTGCAATAATAGACGCTTGTACATTTGGCGCAGCGGTGTTAGCTGGAGTGTCGCAGACGAGACAAGTATTTTGCATAGTTGCGAAAGAAAGCTGCATACAGTCCAACAGTCAGTTTAGACAGGAGCCATCCGTGAGGTTGAGACGCTACCTAATGCTGGTCTGATGGCAAGGTGATGGCAAGGCAGTCGTGAGAGAAGCCCGCCAGGTTTCCCACACATAAGCGCCAGGTAATATTTATCCTAACCTTCTAGGAATTGAGGCGCTTAACGTAAAACAACTGCCAGTGTGAAGTTTCTCATACTATGGTACCTGGATTTGAGAACTAGAGAATTGTTGAGAGCATAGGAGCAGCACAAAATACACAAGGCTCACCAACTCAAAAAGTAGTAGTATCACTAAGTCGTCGAATAAAACACACCACCTTGTATGACATGGAATCCTAGAATACATCGACTTGGTACAAGATGTGGTAGTTAACAAATAAGTAGGTCTCGATGAAGGTCAAAGGATTTGTCTATCATAATCTTTGTGCAATCGGTCCTCGATTATCCGTGCGACGGTTGGTCCATGGACCGGAATATAGTCCCCTTGAAATCCTTCGGGGTAATCGATGTCAGGCTCATTCGGGTGCGTGTAATAACTAGTACACGTCACATCAGCATCGATCCAAAGAGAAGGAAACAGAATTAGCACTAACGTATCATTCCAGACCGCAATATGTGACATTCCAAGGGCTCGGTTGTCCAGTGGTAATCGTGTGCAAATCCTCCCGGGTAGAAGATCTCAATTACAGTGACACCTTCGTAGGAGGCATGAAAAGTAGATGAGTCAGTCGTCCGTTTCCGTGGACTCCAAGCAATATCGTCGTCCGGGCAGCATGCACCTGAGCATCCTTCGACATACGCTCAGCCTGCATGACATTAAGTTCCCAGCCTCTCGTCTTTCTTCTCTCGACGAGCTCTCTAGAGCCGTTACCAACGAATCGTGTGCCTCGTCTGTAAGCCTCCTCCTCGACGTGCCCTGCCGGCTGATATACGTGATAACAATTTGTCCGGCATTGGAAGGTCATCTCCGTCCCTCCTGACGACGTCCAGGCCAGAGAACTTCAATACGGACGCACGAATAGGCTCCCACCACCCGCCGACCTTAATCCCCATGAGCCGTGACTGCTCACGCATGTACTCCCAAGCTTCGGATGCAATACGCTGAGTCTGACTTCACTTCGCACAGCGCACCACGATGGGAAGCGCTCCGATCACTAAGGAGAACGAGCGGAAAATGCCATGCACGATCAACAGACAATCCCGAGGTAGCGGCTATTCGGTCTTCCCATTCTTGCTTATCTTCAATGGCAAGCGAAGGATACGCAGCGCGCATAAAATACGCATTAAATCCAGGGTGGTCGCGCCACCCATTCCCGTCACTATGCGCGAATATCACACGATTAGTGCTGGCGGTGCAGGGTGGGTGAATTTTGTGGAGTAGGCATCAACAGCAGAAACTGCCGAGAAGGCTCCGTGCCAAAAGGCTTGGACCCCGAAGAAGAGTTCAGCGACTAGGTGATAGAAGTGTCCCAAAATTGACTTGGTTCATTGACGAGGAGCTAAGAAATGCTATGAGAAAGGGTATGCACGGTTCGAGAAACATACCGTATTTCCTTCTACTGTCCATACGCGATTTTTAGTCCCTCCCCAGCGTTTTCGAGCTTCTAGAGGAGTAATATATTTCATGTGCTGTAATGTAGGTTCGCTCAGCGCGGCGTTTTCGGGTGTGTTCACCATATGAATACCAGAGCTGATCATTAGACGGAACTCGGGGAAAGAGCGATTTGAAGAGAGACGAACAGCGTGCCGTTGGACATGTACAGATTTCGGAAAAGCGTCCATCCTGGAGCATGGTGGACGATGGATGTGTGTGGTAGGTCGCCGTGGATCGTCTGCAGTGGTATGGAAGGCTCCGGAGTCAAATCCGTGGCAATCTCGTCACTGTTCCACTATCTGTAACTCAGGCGACGCATCTTCTCTCCAGAGAACATCGTGGACGCGCTTGACGGTGTTGATATCGATACTTGTGTCCGAGAAAGAGTGAGGATGAATGATATTGAGGAAATGTGTCAACAATGCTCCCAGCATTAGTAAAATGGAGTCCCTGCGAGAAAAAGGAGGTCGGAAGAACATGATGGTGGATGCGACCAGGGCAAAGGGGCCGGAACGACGACGCAGAGGCGGTTTTGTACTGCTCCACCACCAGGCACTCCGGTCAGGACTTTTCTCCGACTCAGGTTCGCGTTGTGCAAGTACGAAAGCCTCTGCATACTCTTGAACCGAAATTGTATTTCGCATATACAAGCCCGTTATTTTTGAGACTTGTCCGTGCCGTTCTATACCCGTCATAGCATTAAGGACGCGTCACGGAGCCGTTCTCGATAATGGAACAGCGTAACGCCCAAAAACCATTGTAACCTGTTTACACGAACACATGAGCATTATTCGCTATCCGTACTGGGTTCTAGGGCATACCTGCAACGACCATGTCTTGAAGGGAGTCAGATGGCGACTACGTAGCACATGGACGAACGCCATGGAGACCAAGGAAAAGCCGAGCACGTATTATCATCGGCTAATCATTTCCTCTTCGAAAAACCGTCACCCGTACTCGCATCGAGTCGGTCCGGACGCCTGTGCTGGGGGATTGGGCCACTCCCATTAACCAAGTCCGAAGCAGAAAGGAACATCCATGCTTGGCTAACTATCTATGAAGAGACATTCTCAAGAGCGTATCCCCTTTTCTAAACGTGTGTGAGCTGAGTCCTCGCCTATATTCCATTCAAACATTGACTCACCAAGGTTGAATTCATAAATTGAGTAATACAAACACGCATTTCTCAGACGCGCAGCGCCCCAGTTAGCCAATCACTAGCTCATAGAGTAAAATTCGTAAACCTTGCAGGGCTCGAGGTTCGGATTGGCTTAGAAAACTTCCCCGCGAACACTGCCTTGGGTCAAGGGTAAGCACTAGTTGCGCACCGCAGAAGACCTAGACCTCGGCATTCGCTTCATGACTGTGTACGCCTAAAGGCTAAATGCGCATGTTAGAACCAGTTATCAAATAATGAGGTCTAGCTTACAGTGAAGATCGAGGATATCTGAAATTTGATGTGCAGTACCAAACATGCTCCGAATGTCTTCTTCACACTCATTTCATGTTGTGCGTCCAGGAAAAGAACGCGGATGATGATGATGAAGGTCTGGATTGGTGACCCGCAACACGCCTCGTAGTGGGCGAAGACGCGGGGGTACAGTACTCTACTGCTATGTATGACTGTACCGCTACTCTCGTTGTAATACTAATCTACTTGTCAACTCTATGGTATGTAAAACTCTCGGGTAAAATTCTATGTAGCTTCGTGTGTTTTAGGTGTCTATTCTTCGTTGCGAAAATCATTGTCTAGGGAAAAGAGATAGGGAATAAATACAAATAGAAAAAGTAAAGGAAAAGAAACAATGGGGGGGCCCGGTAGCGCTGCGATGTAGTGTTCTATCCATCATCCTCTTCTTCATGCGGCTCTGGTTCATCTTCCCAGAGCGGCATTCCCACCTCTCGCCTTTGAGTTCCGGTCTTTGTAAAGGCTCCAGACTCCGCTAGGAACCTTGTGACCGCTTCGATGCCCTCTGTCGTGCCCAAAAGGTCGCACATCACTAGATTCTGTGATCCTTCGCGTAGGATCTGTCGATGGTCGTTGTATCGTGGGCAGGATCGTATGATGTGATCTCGCGTTTGTAGTCGCTCGCCGCATTCGCAGTCCGTCGCCTCTGGGATGTTAAACAGTTCGTAGAACTCGCCCATGTGGGCGTGCCCTGTTCTACACTGTACGAGCCTTCCGAACACCTCGCGTGGTGTCTCCTTGAACCTCTGGGTTGGTTTTAGCTGTGGTTTGAGTCGGTTTGCGAGTCCAAAGCGGCCAGTAGGGCTTGTCCTTTCCCACTCCTGTACCCATTTCTTCTGTACTCGTTCTCGCATCCTTCTCCTTGCGTTTGCATATGTGCGCTGTCCCATGTCGAACATTGTACATGCCTCCTTCGCCAAAGCGTCCGCTTTTTCGTTTCCAGGTATGTCCTGGTGGCCGGGTGCCCATGCTACCTCCAGCGATGTTTCTTCGTCCTCTTCCAAGAGCTCCGTGGCTATCTTGAAAAACACTGTTGCATGCTGTTGACCTGGTCCCCGTTTGGGACGTATAATGGAGTCAACTGCAGAGGAGTTATCGGCAAAGAAATGAATGTGACGTACGCTTGGGTGGGCTGCACGCAATCGTTGTACATTTCGTGCGGCCCACGCTAAGAAAAGAACGCGGAAATTCTACTCGCGGTCTCTTGCAAAGAGAGAATTGATGTCCACTTGCGGATGGTTCTTGCGTGGGAACACTCTCCTCTTCGCAGGCTTGTTCCTGGTGGATATGGCAACAATGTTGTCGCGGCAGCA